TTTTTTCCTCATGCAATATAGCCTTTCTGAACACTGCTGCATAACCTAGCATAAGCTACGTACAAGAGTATAAGGAACGGGCTCCTTCAAACTTAAATATTGAAGGACAGTGCGTGCAATTTTTACTATTTCATTATTAGCAGAATTTTGGTATTTAACGCCTTCCTTTCATGTACACGCAGATGGATGTGGCCGACATTCTCAGCACGGGTCTGTTAAGTGCTCTCCCTAGCTCCTTGTTAGCAGGTTTTTCGACTATCCGTGGTAGAATTATTAAACAATATGAATAGAAGTGCTGGAAGCCGTTCCTCAAAACTCGAACTTTTTTCGTTCATGAACCCTCCTCCATCGTACCTGAAAAATCTTTATTCAATCGGTGGAACAGGCAATCTTCAACTACCGTGTTGTTTGAGGATCAGTATAATAAAGAATCCTATCTCTCAATAGTTTGCAACCTGCATAACAGCTACGCGGTTCGTAAGATTAATTCCTAAGATCCAACATCTCTAGCAGATTATGCAATCTGTGAAATGACAAGTGAAATTGAATTCTGAGCTATTTAAATAAATGCTAACAATGCGAGGACTAGCATTACTCCACAAGATTCTGAAAGTTGTTTGCTCAATTAACAAGTCTCTTGACCAGTTTGCACAAATGCATTTGAAGTTGGGTTGATTATTAGACTTATTAACTTAGTAATAAAGTGATCGGACTGCTAATTGACTCCCTGATTACATAGAACTCTTGATAAACAGGTCGATAACATTCAGACATAGAGCCAGTAGCGCGGCGGTCAGCCGGAGTAAATAATTGTCGCTGACTTTCCGTTAATCAGTGTACAAATTGATCTTTATTTTCGTGTTTTAATACATACAAGGAGCGAACCCGGAACTAACAAATTATGACGGAGCTGGAAGTTTCCATTATGCAGTTCAAGAGTACGATCCCAATGTAATTGAGCTACTGAAAGACGCTGGCGTGGACCTCAATTCAAAAACGACAACCGGTGAAACTCCATTGTATCTCGCAGTTAGACTGCAGAATTCAAACTTGGCTGAGGCTTTACTGGAAGCGTACGTTCAAATATTTGGAAAAATCTTAGTAATCAGTTTTCTTAGAAGTATTTTAGAAAGTCTGGAAGAATGTTAAGTCTATTAGCTAACAAATTATGTATCTACTCATTACGCCAGCAAGCATTTCTAAACATGAAACCAAACCCCTATATCAATACTAACTATGATCTTGACAATGGATCAAGCAGTTTGAATGAATAAACCCAAGTTCCTTGTGAGAAAGCACGGAAGTTACTTTACCACCGTCTAAACTGCCGCACTTGACGATGGAGGAGGCAATACCGTTCAGTTATCCAATACCTCAGTAGTTCTCCAGTCACAAAATCGGATATAAATACTAGCATGTCTATCTGGCGCAATTTTCTTATCTGAAAAGGCCCCCGCAGTTGTGTTGAACGATTTATTAGAGGAATCTTTTGTCTCGTTTCATGAAGTCTAACTAAACAGTAAGGCCCTCCCCTAAAAAAAACGCAAATCTTACCGCAAAAGCCTTCAACTTGCCTGATCTATTCAGGTGGATGCTGCAGTTTGAGGACAGCAAAGTTTTGGATCTTCAGCAGACAATTCTTCCATTCTTGCTGCGTATCGTAAGAAAATGTCACCATGGAAAAAGGCTGTACATTCAATAGGTTGGCACTGGTGGTTTCAAATTTGTGTAAAGTTTTGCTACAGGAGATGCGCAAAAAGTAATTGTTTTCGTAGTAAGCTCTTTCGTTCAAGGCAGATCATACTGCTTGCGTGCATGTTCGCTTGAAGTCAGAAGCATTCAGGGAAGCCTGCAGAACAACTAAAAACGTTCTGCTGTTCTTGAAAGTCACATTCACTTTCGGAATGACCGTGTTGTCGACATCTTTGACCAGAAACGCAACTGAATTTCAATGCTTGGTGCTCCCTGTGTGATCGAAATGACTAATCACATCCGCCAGAATCACTGAAGACAACTTTCACTCGATGTCACTACGAAACAGTAATGCAGAAGTTCCACCGAATTCCGGCTTCCCGGAGACAGCCGTTTGTATGTTTTTTAAGTAGATCGGGAGGTTGAACTCTCTGTGCAAAACATTTTTGAGATTTAAAAAATGGATGGAGGATTATTTCTGTAAGTTGCCAAACTGAGCTGCACTAGCATAGCAAAAACTGACCTGTCAGCAGTACCGGGCAGATCTATGAGGTCAGTGTGACCATCCTGTGATTTGGACCATCTTGACTCATCGATATGTTCGATGAAGATAATTTCATTGTCTCTAAGTACGTGTTGGTGACAGCAAATTACAGACAATTATGCTGAAGTGCCCTTTCAAGGGGACAGACCAATTTTTACTCCTTGTTGTGCACTGCACATCAATATCAACACTTGCAGTGAGGCACAGCCAGTTGTCTGGAAGATGATCGAGGAGCTTACAGGGCACAGAAAATATCTGCACGATTGGACAGAGTTGTACCAAAAACAGTGTTATTACTGAAGTCAACTGTAGTCAACCGAACAAAGCATTTTTATTGAGGATTAATTGAAATGGCCGTCGATCTGCTGGCCGAGCTTGCTAGTCAACTGGGGAAAAATTTAGTCACCACGCGAGGAGACGCCATCAGTTCGCAGTTGAGTGGGTAGTAGCTCGACACTTGCTTGTGCCTATAGTGTATTAGGGTGTGTATGATATTCTCTTAGGTTACTGGCGAGATTGCCAAAAAGACCACTGCAGACTGAAGTTGGAAGAAAAGCAGGGCACAGGGGGCGAATTCTGAGGTACGTTAGTAACCATTTGGAAGCTCAAAAACAAAACTGCATCGCATTTTTTGAGCATATTGAAACCCTCTATGATACTAATCCGTCCAAGCCCAGAGGGAAGAAACGCTTTTGCAAGGATTTTAAACAAATGGATGCCTGAGAAATTTCATCTGGTGGACCCTAAGAGAACCCGACTAAACCAATTCATCAGCGCAGAAAGAGGGAAGAAGTACCGCACTTCTATACATCAAGAGCATTCCTCAAGTGACTGCACGACATTCAAGACTGTATGACGAAACTGTGGCCCACAAACCTTCAATATTCTACGGATGGCACAGGTAAACCCAAATGGAAGCGATGATGAAGATCGATGCCATTTGTAAGGTTCAATGCAACGATTACAACTAACAATAAGTGATGCAAAAAGTAAGTGAGTTCTCTATCAGAATACATGAACCCAAACTTGCAACCAAAGGACATGATATCACCGCTCACATTTGTGCACAAGCATCAAGACTGATTGACTGAAGCAAAAACGAGGATGTAACATGAATTCATGGTAAGGCGGTACTGCAAAAATACCGTCAACAAGCATAACGAAATTGACCCGATCTGCCACCTAGAAGGGCAAAAGGGCTCCTACTTTACGTGAGTAAGTGTCATATTGAGCAATCAAATTGAACTAAGACAGACCACGCCCCAATGCAAATCAGGGACACACCAGTCGAAGTGTGAAAACAAAAAACCTAAGAAAAAAGCTGCGAAACACACCACTCAAATATCGGTGGTATGGACTCCAAAGCATTCACAGTGCATTGAGCCTTGGGGAAATTCGATTTCTGCTAATCTTACTTGCTAAGCTTGTTTACTCGCTCCACGTGATACTGAAATATGATGGACAAAGCCATCCGCTTCAAGTGTTCACGGGATAGAAATGAGCCCGTATGGTATCCCCACGACGCGATTAAGAAGACTACGTAGTTTTAGTCGAAATCTTCATAATCCAGGTATGTAGTTCTCGAAGTTTTCTGTGACTTTCGATGTCATTCGCCCGGCTTGCTGTAAATGCACATAGAGCTTACGGGCACATTTGCATCTTGCAGCAGATCTGCCCGAATACGGTATCTTTTGCATTGTTGTGCAAAGTGTAATCAAAGTTCTAATAATCAGAATTTTTTTCATTTTTATTTCTACTGATCGACTCGTTAATCTAGTTAATTTCTACAGCAATAACAGATTAATTTGCAACTCATTTGGATGCACTGTTCACAGCGATTCAGCCTAATCTCAAAGCTGGTGGTAAGTGCGAAACCCATACAAAAAGATCTTGGATGGGATATAAGAGCGATTGCTATTTAAAAACTACTTATCTACCTGAAGAATCCTAAGCAGAAGGAAAACTAATTTTGGAATTAATTTTAATATTTCTCACTTTGTCACCTGCGGTACCAAATGAAAGGAAGAAGGCCTCCACTGTGGAGTTATTTATTAGTAAAATGCCAACTGACCGGTTACAGACTACTGGACAGTGAAGCAAAACTCCCATTTGCATCTTATTTACAAAAACTGAACACCCATCTTCTCCGGAACACGTCTTTCCGAACTTTCCTGGGTATTCATTGACTCCAATCATTCATTGCTCAAATCCAAGCAAATGTTACAAAGCAACTCCACAAATTCCGCANAGAGATGCAAGCAAAATTCCAGGAACAACCCATACTACTCGCATTCCCTAGCCGTGGTGTTATTCACTCGTTCTTAAATATTCGGCCGTCAATCAAATATGAGCTGCTGTTAAGCCGGTTGATTACGGCCGTACAACGGTCGAAAGTATAACGATCTCTTGACAAATCATATTTCCCATATATATATATATATATATATATATATATATATATATATTGGTTGCCATGCCGTCTTAACGAGGATTAAATCAGCAACATAATGTGCGCTGAAAGGCTACGTACTTCACCATGATTATCGCCTCAACTTAGCTCAAGCACCACATTTCACCACATTACCATCAAGTGGCTGATGCCTCAGCTTAGATCATCCGAAAAATAGTGCCGCATTTTGAGGCGCAAGAACGAAATATGCAAGATTAGGGACCCAAACTGTAGAAACAAATTTCCCAACGACATCATATAAATCAAAGTATTCGTGTGACATTATTTTTCAATAATTTCCTTAGCCTATCTTAGTCTCACCGAATTCTGATCTTTAGAGGTGCAAATTTGGACTGCGAGAACGCAGAAGGTGAAACGCCCCTGATGGTTGCAGCTCGGCAGGGATACTTATACTTGAGCCGTGTACTTTTAGAACACAAGCCGAACATCGATAAAGTGAATTCAAAATGTCAGAATGTGGTCTACATGGCTGTTGAAGGGAATGATCGGCATGTGGTGGAAGTGAGTTGACATGCTCTGTGATATGAATGTTTTGTTCCAAACCGAAAATTTTCCATCAAACTTACTTCTACTAGTTTACAGCTCGATCATTAGCGTTTGTGCGACTAGTTGTGCTAAAGTTAACCATCTAAAATTTTATAGTAACACCTTCAAACAGACTAATGATTCGTACTTTTAGTTGCTTAAGGTGACATCGCCCTCCTTTTGAGTGCTTTCTTCGTAAAATTGAAAATGGGACAAAACATTGGATCTCCTTACAAACTAGCCTGATAATCTACCACAAAACTACGGTTTAAACGGAGGCTTAAACCAGGTAGTTATTTGGGTTCGTTAATTTGGTAAAATTAGATAATGCCATGAAAACACATGCTTGAACCTCAAGTAGTACTTTTGTTTAAGGCCATTTCATTGGAATGCCTACTAGTCAGTTCATTTGGGTCTATTTTTGGAAACTTATCCAATATCAACTTCCAAACGGCTGTCATGCGCTGAGCATAAGCTCGTAAGTTCACGGCTTCACAATAACTGCAATAGAGTTTTACGCTTTTTTGCTGAAGCCCCAGCTTAACAAAAAATGAATCCACAACTCTCATATGTTTGTATATCAGTGTAGAAAACTACTGTGCTTATCATGCAAACCAATATAGTAGAATGACTTGAATAACCAAACAGTGTTCTCATGTGGTTTTTCACCCAGTTCTCTAGCTTTCTTTAGTTCACCATGTACTACAACTTCCCAGTGTTTTTGGAAAGCTCCCGGCTACATGCTTGCACTGGCCAATTCAAATAAATTCAGGAGCAATCTGTCGGCGTCATGAGATGTTGCGATGATCATGCATGTGAAGTCAGGCACTTAGCACGACAGCTGACTGAAAAGTTGGAGTTTAAGTGGAAACTGCATCTCCTCTGTTGTTCCCCGTTTCCAGCGGCAGATCCACCATAGCGCAGTTTCCCACAACGGGTGATAACACCTCTTGCACACGTTGGCATTGATTAGGTTCTTCTGCCTTTCTTATTCGAAGGACTGGAACTCAAGCCCAAGCTGAATATTGTAATATGCACGCTATGGAAGCACGCACCGACAGTGATTCTCCGAAGGCAGGTGTTCACGACTATTTCTGTGGATGGAAAACAGAAACAAAGCTCATGAGCCAGAGCCCAGTAAGCAAGGTTGTACGTCACCAATACTTACATATGAATCAATCAAACTGACAGACAACGTATACTAAAATATTGCACAGCACTCAGCGAAGCAACAGAATTACAAAACAATTTGGTCCACCTGCAGAATTTTTTAGAATGCTTCTGAATTCGCCAACAGCCTGCCGGTGCTTTTTGTCACTCATTATTTGCATACTGAGCTGATTTTCTGAGGAGCCAGGTAGAACTGGTTTTCAGGCCGCCACTGCACCATTTCGCACCGAATGGCCCTATTCTGGTTGCTGGGTTTTGGAGCTGATATTATTTTTCCTCAATGATATCCACTCTGAAATCAGTTGAAGTCAATTTGTCTAGCGTCGAACTTACCCTATAGTATGCGGACCGGTTGCAGTCGGATGCGTTTCAACATTAGTTGAGCACGTTATTGCGTATCGGACACAATTACAAATGCAGTAGAGTTTCCAAAACACGCAATGGCATAATCAGCTTGCGCATTAGCTTTGAACTAAATGTTAGTGGACTCATCCTTTGCAAGTGCTATGCGCGAAATTTGCATTTAGTTCTGTTGATCGTGGTGAAAGATCGCTCATTGCAGGCAGGTGGAGTCGGCAAGTTAAAAAAGCTTTACTGCTTTATTTTATTGTTACAGACGTAATGGCTTTGTCGCGTTTACGTTCCTAAAAAAATTTAAAACAATGGCCAGTTTGACGGCTCTACTTAAGGGGTCTTTATTTTGGCCATATGTACTTTTATAGTACTCACTGTATTTGACCAATCACCATGCAGGGATGCCTACAGGAACAGACAGGCTAGTCCGTGTCCACCGATGAAAACGAGATAAGAATTAGCGACAGCGTGAAACTACTGATATCAACATGAAATAACCACAATGTTACTTTACTGCTGCCAACTTCCACCAATGCGGGCGTGCACCACACAGTTTCCGCGGGATTCGACGCAGCAGATACCTCAAGAACGGCTTACATGTTGCCCAAAACATGGTGTCAACCACTGTGTATTCAAATTTGTCAGGCAAGACAACAGAGTCTCCTAGTTGCCTTTAGTCTTAATAGGTTTGACTGCCGTTGGATACTAGGCAATATAACAGGTGTCGATTTTACCCGTAGTCCTCTTTGATAAACCCTCTGGTAGTTTTGGGAAGGATAAAACTCTTCACTATAATATGAGTCCTGGGTGATGATCAGTTGAAATATGATCCGGTCGAAGCAAATCAAGCGAAAGCATTTGCTAGGTATTTGGCCTGCTACTGATATCAAGTAAAGGCCTACGGCATGTCAACCTGGGAAGCCTACACGTCACTTAAGTGGTAAATCTTTACTGGTATTCAGAAACTAGACAATTAACAAAAATCAGGTTGACTGCCTCAATAGTACTGGTGATTATAAATCTCGTCCCAGAGGCGGAAAATGATGTTGCATAGACTATGAACTTTGAAGTCTTGACCGTCTTAGTTATCTGGTGGCCGCTTGTCAAGAACTTCCAGTGTTTTACCATCATATTTAAGAGTTATCGTCGCCAAGAAATGTTGTAATCCTCAACGAAGTCTCCGTTGTCTTTACCGACTACATTTGACTAGTTGTGAAATGTTAAATAAAGCTATTTATTGGTTTCAAGCCAAATGGAATAGGCGCCCTCATCCTAAACCTTATTCTTTTCGTGGTCCTAACCTTACAGTTTCTGCTAGAAAATGAAGAATTCCCTCGACTGCTCAAGTGTGCTGATCTGGATGGGAACAGACCAATTCATAAAGCAGCGGAAATTGGTAATTTGGAAATCGTTTCGGTATGTGGCTTAATTTCCCTTTAAAGCCATTGTTGGGTGAATCCCTTATCATTATTTATCTACCCAACTCGAAGTCCCACCTTACATTCACCCATTCTTCTACAGAAATGGAGCTTGTAGTACCTTAGTAACGTTGAGAATACGCGTGAAGAAAACACTACTAAACAATTAACTGACACAAAGTGGTGCGAACGAACAGTGAAAAAAACATGTGACAAAAGCAGGATTAACGTGTGTGGAAGCCCGGATGATGTTGAGCAGCTTCACCTCCGGAATAAATGTACTCAACTGTTTGAAGGAAAAAAAATGCGTCCTTGAGAGAAAAATGGAGTCCATATTCAAAATACCCTCTTCAAATACTTACGCTTTCAACATAGCCAGAGGAAATCCTGTGATAGATATGACGTTGCTGCTTGCCGCCTGTTATTCAATTGTTATCATCATCGTTTTGAATCACTCAGTGTCAACATTGGGCATGGATTTCGTGCACACAGTGGGTATTGGAAGCTACTTTCGGCAGTATCACAGGCTTAGCGCGCCGAATAGTTCAGAATCCTAATACATGTTTGTTGGTTTTAGTTTGAGTGAAGATGATCACTGAAAATCTTCCCTTGCTAAGCCATGAGGTAATCACAGGGTGCTAGAGCGGATCTGATAAATTTAGTTTACCCACCAAGATTCTGAAGGCGGCTGACCGAAAAATTCCATGTAGCCAACACAACCATAACCGAAGCCACTGCAGATCAAACTTGTTCGATTTCCTGGCCTGAAAGCTTGGATTGTGTCTTTTTGCCTTGCACTCTGCAGTTTTCTGTCTTGAAGTTGGCAATCGTTGAACTGACGAAATCCAGTTCGTTCCGTTCCAGCCCGTTTCGTCCTGTTTTATGGTGCCGCTTCCCATCTCATTTGAAGTTGGAAACCTTGCGATTTTGACCAATAGATGGGGATATCGAAGACCTTACCTGCAATGATTCTGTTTCTGTGTAGTTCGGTGAATACGTCCCAGCCAGTGCAAAATCGGTGGAGTGTGATCGTGGACTCCACTGTCTCATTCCAAAGAATGCCAATTATCCCATTTCCATGAAGTTGACTGTAGGTCATCTTGTGTGCTCATACTGGAAACGACCAGATGGCGAATTTGAAAGGCCTGCTCTGCGGAGGCTCCGTGCGTGTTTCCAAGTGCCACCGATTTGAGCCATTCCGACCGGCTTCCATCGCTCAGGTCAGTGTTGGAAGTGCCAAGACGAGGATTAGGAGCGTTTTATGCTTGATTACATTTCCGTCAACACATAGTTCCCCTCGTGCATAACTGTGCACCCAACCCACTAGTGGTCACCAAGTTATCCAGCATATAAGGTGTGCCCGGTATTCCGAGCACGTCCTTAGAAAGAACAGTGTGGGTGAAAATTGTATACGACTGCATACGACTGGGCATTAGCCCAGCAGATTAAGGAGCTTAGCTTATACTATTCTTCTGTCACTAGGGATGGGATTCTTAATCCAACCTGATTGGTGGGGTCTGGCTGTTAGTTTCCTTTACTCTAAAAAAGCGAATGAAGGCAACATGAAGTATGTGGTGCTTAGAGGTGGTAAAAAACGTCCCAAAGGTGATAACAGGACAAGAAGATTGTTCCTCTAAATGTTTCACTGAGTGTGTACGTCTTTTATCAACTGTTAGTTGGTTACAAGAAGGCTTTTTTCCTTTTGCTCTTGTTTATAAACAGGCAATTGTGAAAGCTTCGGCTGGGGAGGGGCCAATGTCTTGCTTGGTCGCGCCAAATATGAAGGGTCAAACACCGGCTCACATTGCTGCAAAGTTTGGGCATTTAAAGTAAGTCATCAAGAGATTCGACATCACGCCTCGCTTTTAAATGGATAAAGTTAATGAAGTTAGAAAAGCAGCGACCCCTCTGGGTTTTCAAGAACTCAATGCGAGATCGTAGCGTATTTTCGTCCTTTTTTCAAGGCATTACGCTTCGAAAAATATGCTTGCAGGATAAAGGGATTTTCAATCTCTGAGTATGTCATAGTTATGTACAACTTGTGGTCCGCCGTCTACATTCCGACGTCATGGGTTCTTTAGAATACAAGTAGCCTAGGAGTGACAGTAACACTGGCGTCTAACTGTCACACAACAATTAGAGAAAAACAGGCGTTAGTAGGGGCTACGCGAGAAGAAGTGCCATCATTTTAAGAAAACTTATTTAGATGAGGTTGCCTACTTTTGATAGTTCTGCTATAAACACCTATAAGCATCATGTCAGAATAAGAAGTCATCAGTGGGACAGGATCAGTGTCTTTTGCGACCCTCACCCTACACAAATCCGACTGCTGAACTTCAGGTAAATAAACCCGGCTATGAAATGAAAGCATGTGTGCCAGCGAGATCAACTGTGTATCATTTACTATCGGGCTTCAATCCATGCACAAGCTTGATCACGTGGGTCACAGCTGTAAAGGCATGAAGACTCAATGGTACTCATTTCATGTTGCCATGTCATTGCTGGTCTCCAGCGAAATTTTCCCCAACAATCGCCTGAAACAGAAGACATTTTGATTATTCTTAAAATAGGTCCCATATCCTTGAACTAGAGTGTTTGACCTGCCTCCGCAACCCTCTTATCCTCTCACGCATTGCCTCATTGTCTACTCGTTTCAGTATACTAAGTTTTTCTATGCTACGAGATAGCAATGGCCACAAAATTGAAGACGCCTTAGGCCCTTGGACTGGTGTAGACGAGTCTCGCAGTCATACAGTTGTCTTTTATTCGCAGAACTTCAACTTTAATGGACTCCGTTTCTGACGCCCTAAGTGACACCGGTTGGTGTACGCTGCTCGTATCTTCGTTGTCCATGCATTAATTTCATCTATCGGCGTAAAATCAAGGCTTCTGAACCTACTAAAATACGGTAACATCTCAGCATATTCAATTTTCTTATTCGGAATTCTCAGAGGGCAAGATGATAAGGACTATTGAATTAAGTCTCTGTATTTGGAGATTCAGGGGATGCTGAAACAGAGAACCACCTCCGATATTCTGGTTACGCTATTTTGTGCTGACAAAGGACTGTCGGAAAAAAGCAATGTTGTTCGCATACTCCAAGTACATTATTCTATCTGCAACAGTGATTTCGATACAACGGTTTATGGAATATGCACCTCATGTTATTGTCGGTGACAAAGCTGAGCCCACAAGGATGAATGGGACAGCCCTCTTGAACGCCTGGTTTTCAGGAGGCTTTTAGATCGTTACTTGTACATCTCCAGCTAATACTAATCACGTAGAATATCCACATACTTTGATGGACTCCCTTTTTGGCATAGAATCTTTTCTATTCAAAGCCGAAGGCTTTTCCAAAGTCGAGGAAAACTTGGCTGGTTGTGAGCGGTATGTGAAGTCCTGTTTAGATGGTCGACGTAATATAAAGTTACAGCCAGTATAAACTTCATCAAATCTACATGACACTCTCGGAAATTGGTCTTAGCTGCCTGGTTGTATATGGATTCACGTTCACATCACTCACGTCTGAAAAGATTCCCCAGCTAGTCCACACCAAAACAAGACGGGACCAACTGCACTTGAATTTCGCTCTTAATAGAGCTCACCGGAATTGCACATCCTTGGCTATGTCGGGGTTTGAAATGCGGAAGCAAGAGTGTCATCACTGACTCACATGTGCACCCTGAACACACCAAAATTAAATCACGCATGAACTGTTCAGTTTGGCACGAAGTCACTCTAGACGGAGCGTCTTGACGGAATCAGCTTTGCAGATTAGAGGAGATAAATAACAATGGTGAATTACGCGCGCGATTTCAGTTTAACTCTACCGGATGAAGAAAGTTTTGATCAATTCCTACGTCAGAAAACTAACTAACCACATCCTTGCATCTCCTCACGAAGGATAAATTGGAAGCTGAAAAATTGACAAGACACTTCCAAGCATGTTAGCTTATTACCGGAACATTTTGTTTCTAGACGCCGCCATACACTCTGGATGAGGGCTTTATGAGAAATTTGTTGGGTCAAAGGACGTGGCGTGGACGGAATTGAAACGCAGTAGTAACTACCGTGAGTTGATCATAGAGAACGAATCAGGAATAATCAGGAAATACCAGATGGGAGCAGTCGAAATCTATCAGGTCAACTGCCTGATAATTGGTTGGATGAATAATACTGACCCATATAATTTTCAGCGTCTCCTTAGCGCACAATATGCTGTTGCTTCAGTTGTGTTCGAAAACGATTAAAATAGTTTTAAGGTCCCTCAAAACACTGTATTGCAATCACGACTCATACAGTAGCTTTATAGGTAACATTATCTGCTTCGTTATGGAAGCCTTTTAGGTCTTTCATTGTATTGGAAATGCTTTTTACATCCGTTTTCACATTTTTATGGATGTGTGTAGTAATAGCAGTATATTTACATGACAAGAAAGTGCACTAGTTTCTGCATTGGTTTATTTTAGTCTTCTGAAGAAATGGTGTTCTGATAACTTGACATTGTTTGAGCTTGAAGACAATATGGGAAATACTCCGACTCATCTTGCGGCTAAACGTGGGCACACTGATATCGTCGAATGGATTTCTCGTGCAGCGAACGCAAGGGTTATGCAAAAGCGAAACTATCTGGGTCGTACACCGCTGACTTTCGCGGCTGCCAAAAATCAGCTTTCGTGCCTGGAAGTTCTACTCAAAACAAAGGGGTGCAACGTGAATAATCGAGATAAAATGCAGGTCAGTAAATTAATATTGAAGCTGCACGTTTTGCGGTATTGTTCTTCTAACAGGTTCAGAATAAAATCGCAGACCAATAAAATAATAGCTTTCCATGTAATCCTAGGTGACCGAGTGGGGTTGAGCGTTTTCACTGAGTTTTACAAGAGTGCACCATTTCTGAGTGAAAACCATCCGAAATTCTAACGATCTGTTATTGGAATCGGGAGCTGTATATAAAATTCAGCGTAGCACTGCTATCTGCCGTAGACGCTGCAAGGAAACATGACGCCAGATCCAGATATAAAAGCAGAATGAACACTGATTTGTGTTCTGTTTTGTCTGAGAAAGTAACCACGAACGCTTTATCTGCAGAGCGTGGCAATTTAGGTGAGCCTTTCCTGCAATAGTGGATTGGTGGAACTTTGTTCAGTTTGTATATCAACTGACGACAGCTCATGTCTCGGAAGAAACTACGTTCTGCACTTCTGATGTGCTCAATACTCAACCAAAGCGAAAGTTGAGTCCGTAAACCTTTTGCAGGTTGTATTAGCTGGACGGATCACACCAGATCGTTAGGGTGGGTTGGTTCAACTAAAGTCACTTGGATAAGAGTTCAGTGAACAGAATATTGAGAAGGCCAAATGAAGAATCGAGTGCTAGAAAATGACATGCAATGAGGTGTGCAAATCCAGTGCTGCAATGGAACGTAAGACTGCCACTTTTGCACGGACAAGGAAAGGTTCTAACATGACTCAGGCAAACAAATCAAGTGTAATTTTGATGTCCCAATGTGCGATAAGTGCCCAAATATTGAGTATAAGCAGGACATCATCATAACGCCAACAGAGTAACGACTTCACAGCAGAAATCAAACCCGCAAGTTGTCCTAAAATGAACAGATGCCCAAAAATTAAAGTTAACGGAGAAGTCATCAGCTGCGACACTTATTGAATCGAAATTTCAAGTAGTGAATCAGACCCCTGTGCGTCAAAACAAGACGGCTATCAACTCCATTACTAAGCCACGCATTGGTTGACAAAGGGCCACATAATCCCCAGGGTTATATCCTTATCCCTGCGTCACCCGTATTTGATCAGTAGTCTCCATTCTCTCTAATGGAGAGATGGAGAAACGGGCATCAAGTTTAAAAATCTATTCTTTCTAAGCGTGAACAAAATAGTGATGAGCAGATCTGTCACGAGAAATAATGTTGAGTCACCAAAACATCCTGACTATCACCAGTGCTGACATCCCGTGACAACAGGTAGAAATGCATAGGTAACAGTAAAGTAACACTCACTGGTTTTCGTTTCCCACCTGGTAATTCAGATAGTTGACCAAATTAGCTGCGTTGTATTTCCAATGGCCACCATTAAGAAGTAAAATGAGACTTTGAGATTTTTATTAGGGTCAAGGTGAGACCGTTCTAAATATGACATTTCCTCCAAAGAGCTGATGGCTGCTTGGAAATGGCTTGGAAATGGCTTTGGAAATGGCTTCTTATCCCCGGAGATCTTATTCCTTTACTCACCGAAACCCTACAATGGACTTGGAAGAATTCGCCTCTTCTGCTGGTCGTCTGTGTCATACTATCAGGGCCTCTGAACAAGTGTGCTCAAACATTCATATAATATCACATCTATTTTTCGTCTGACCAAGTCAGTGTATTCGTTTTTCGTTGCAGATGACGCCTTTGTTTGTGGCATGTCTCAAAGGTCACACCAAGACTGTTCAGGAGCTCTTAAGAAATAAGGCGGACCCAACAATTCGAGTGGCTGAAGATCACGAAGTGTACCCTGGGTGGAACGCGTTGAATGCAGCTGTGCAAAATAAACAACTGTAAGTGAATGAATTTGTTAGGGAAGTACATTATGAAGGCATCCATTGTTGGACCCTAGCTAATGAGGCTGTTTGGGTCGGATCAAAAGTTCTCAGCATGAATCAGCATGACTGATACGAATTAACAACGACCCTCTGTTTTGTTTACTAGCATTGTTGACAATGTGTCTGAGGGAATTAGGGTTTCCGCTGTTAAAATCAATTTAAAAGATTTATTTGATTCATCCTAGCAACTTTTGATAAGCTTCAACACTGAAATAACTATCAACCT